CTAGCGCAGATAGCCCTCGTGTAGCTTTGCGCGAAATTCAAAAAACAAACAAACATATACTAGTGATTGATTGTCAGGAGTAAAGATTACAAAAAAAATTACACATTACAGTAAGAAATCAGGTGTAAATTGACAGCGGCCAAGATGTTTGTAACTGATATTTCAAAGAAAACTCAAATGTTTTGTTTCTTTGTATATAAACTTAAGCAAACACAAGCAGACTCTGCTGGAGTTCTAACGGCGAAAATAAGCTGTATATATATCAAGTCTTTATAGCTATCATTTCGCTATTCATGGTTCGAGCTCCGGGAAAGACACCACGCAAATAACCCATTGTGTAGCTTTGCTTTAAAAATCAAGCTTACTTGTGATTCTTATGTCAAAATATCCATATTGTCGATGACGTTTTGTCAGAAGATCCATTGATGAATAAGCTACTTTATTCGAGATAAACCTCAACATCTGTTTCATTTTTTACGTTCCAGGTATAAAAGCGAATGCACCAGACGATACGGATGGGTTTACGCGTATTATCAGCATTTGGAAATACCAAAGGCTCGACCCGAATGGGGATTTGTGGCGACACCCCATCACTGTGCCTGTAAAATAACGCCCTGGATACGTTTTACGTAATTTTGTTGTTGTTGTTGTTGTTGTTTTCTGTTCGTTCTATGGTGGTGATTTCACAGTTAATTATGTTTTAACTTATTATCTTGGAATGGCAATTTATCTCTAATAAACGTAGCAACTAATGTAACCCTAATAATTGTCTCAAACGTCAGTACAAGCTTGGTATCAACAAGATAAAATATATTGAGCTCTTTCATTATTTTGTGACACCTGAAACTGCTTTATTATTACCATTGACCAAACTCAGTAAATAAACCATAGTTGGTTTTCCTTAGCTGTATTTGTCAGGTAGTTTGTTTATGAGGCTTAATAGCCATAAAATTTTGGGTTTAATTTTGTTTGTGGGACGTAATAACCACCCTGTAGTAGTGTTTAATTTTGTGTATAGGGCTTAATAACCAACCTTTTATTTTTTTTATTTTTTTTGGGGGGGGGGGGGTTAAGTTTTATCTATAGAATTTCATATCCATCCAGTTCTGGATTTAATTTTTTCTGTGGATCTTAACAGTAACTATTGCTCTGGAATTTCATTTTGTATACAGGGTGTAATAGTCCCCCCTATTTTTGGACTTAAGTTTGTCTGTATGGCATAATGACTAGCGTGTTTTCGAGTTTAATTTTATCTCTGGGTCGTGACAACCATCCTACTCTGGGGTTTCGTTTTGTCTATTGTTTGTGGGGCTTAATAGTTACCCTACTCCGGAATATAATTTTTGTCTATGAGACGTAAGAACTACCATTTCCAGGATTTAATTTTGTTCGTAGTGCTTAATCGCCACCCTGTTTTGAGATTTAATATTTGCTAATGGGGTGTAATAAACACTTTTTTTCCGTGGTTTAATACTATCCATGGGGCTTAATAGCTCTCTATTTCTGGGCTTATATTTTACCTATATGGTTTATGGTTATCCCGTTCTGGGAATAGTTTTATCTGTAGGGTTTAATACCCACATTGTTCTGGAGTTTGTGTTTTTACTATGGAGTTAAATAAACACACTTTTCTGGGGTTTAATTTTGTCTATGGGGCTTCATAGCCGTCTTTTTCTGGGGTTTAATTTTGTTTATGGGGCTTGATGGCCATCCTGTTGTGGGTTTAATTTTGTCTGTAGGACTTAATAGCCATCTTATTCTGATGTTTAATTTTGTCTATGGGGCTTCATAACCGTCTTGTTCTGGAGTTTAATTTTGCTTATGGGGCTGGATGGCCATCCTGTTCTGGGTTTAATTTTGTCTGTAGGACTTAATAGCCATCTTATTCTGATTTTATTCGGGGGGTTAATGGCTACTCTCTTCCGGACTTGAATGTTCAAATATTATATACACTAGTACAATATCAGCGTAGCTCTATTAATTGTATGTCACTTTTAAAAAACTTTCAATGTATACAGAAGTCTTTAGAATGTAAAACAATATGGTATGAAACGTTCGTGTCATTATTGTCGTGTTCGATTGATTTTTGTTGACAATGCTATCTTTTGTGTGCATGTAATTTAGACGTTCAATTAACTTTAGATGTAATGTGGTTAACAAAAATAAAGTCCAAACTGCGTATTCTGTTTTATTTTCTACTTTATCTTTGTTTTTTTCTTATGAAATGTATTTCGTAATTAGGTAGGTAAATATACATCTATTAGTTATTAGCAGATAAAGGAAATTATTGTTGGTTCTAAGCTGCTAATTGCTGTAAAATGTTAAAACCACTTTTCTTATATTTATAATTATAATTTCCTTTGGTGATATCAGCTTTTACGAAATTTTAATAAAATGTGCCACTGATGCGTTGGAAACTGTGATTTGATGGTGATACTGATGTTTGAAAAATAAAAAAAACTCATCAGTTTATTCCACGAGTTTAAACGTCGACTTAATTTTACCCCATATTTCGTGCCCACCTTCTCTCGTCCCACACTTACTTCTGTATATTCAGAATAATCAAATAATTCAAAATACATATAGTCTAAAACATTTGACACATTCTGTTTTATTAAAAAGTTCTTTAATATTCTGAACATCTACATTTATCGGTACATGCCAAACAGTGCTAATAACGAGTTAAAATTTCCTTGGTGACTTAGCGTAAAGTTTGTGGGTTTATAACGCTAAAAATCTAGTTTCGATACCTGCGGTTAGCAGAGCACATATATAGCTTATTGTGTAGCTTTCAAGTTAACAACAAACAAACGAGTTAGAAAGAAAGCACATATATATATCACTCATTAACCAATAGCAGTTGGGAGGATAAAAATTGAAGAACTTAGAACTCTCTGCCACTTTGGGAAACTAAATATGATTTGGCAACGTCACCTCAGTTTCTTGTTGTTTGTTTATAAACAAAACAAGTTTATTTGTTGCTAAATAGACAGGTTTTAACTCCTCCGAATATGTTCAACTTCACTCAATGTTTAAACTGAGTTCTCGTATATTTTGTCCACATCTATGGTTTGTTTTATTTTCATTTATCCTGGGGCTTAAGATTCCCTACAGGTGTTTTCAACCTAACTAGTAGCAACTTTTACGTCACAACATGTTTGAGAAAGTCGATAAAATGAACGGGGTACATTTATGGAATATTAATTGAATAATTAAATTTTACATCTAATATATCAATGTATTGGACAGGCTTCGGGTATATATATATAGTAGGCCATTTTATGTGAAGGTCTGTGATACCTTTTGGAAATTGTAAAAACAATGCTAATATATTACATTCCCATTTGACTATGCACATATCAATATATCTTTGATAAAATAACTACTAAAAAGCATAAAATAACGCCATGGAATATAAAATCTTAATCCTAGTTAGACCTTATACACAAATAAATCTTTTAGTAGCATTTCTTGGAAACATATATATACTGCGGGTCTTGAAATTGTGACGTTAAAATGGGTATTTCACAATAACTAAGTAGACCGAACTAACGTTTTAACCACGCAGCCATTTTTGAATCGTTCTTATTATTTCCAAATATATTTCTCCATACATTTTCTATTATGAGAACAGCAATTCCCAAGGCAACACCTCCGCTATACAGATAGAATGCACTTGCCAGTTCAAATACTGAAAGCGCTTCTTCCTGGGTATTAAAAGATTTCGATCGACTTAAGAAGCAAGACTCCATATTAGGGAAGTACTGTTCTTTCCATTTTTCAATCAGTCCTGCTGCTCTAAGTTGCTTGATCCTGAAAGTAGAAATACATTCGTTATATCTAATCCATACACAGTAGAACCACAACGTTTAAAAGCTTTTATTTCACCAAATAATTACACTGTTCCAGTACAATCATCGTGGTGTATTCTCGAGATACACTAAAACTATGTCTAGTACAATCATCGTGGTGTATTCTTCGAGATACACTAAAACTATGTCTAGTACAATCATCGTGGTGTATTCTCGAGATACACTAAAACTATGTCTAGTACAATCATCGTGATGTATTTTCCAGATACATTAGAACTACGTGTAGTACAATCATCGTGGTGTATTTTCCAGATACACTAAAACTATGTCTAGTACAATCATCGTGATGTAATTTCCAGATACACTAAAACTATGTCTAGTACAATCATCGTGATGTATTTTCCAGATACACTAAAACTATGTCTAGTACAATCATCGTGATGTATTTTCCAGATACACTAAAACTATGTCTAGTACAATCATCGTGATGTATTTTCCAGATACACTCAAACTTATTCCAGTGGAATTATAGCAATATTTTGTAACCGAATCATTTATTTTCCTTTCTTTCTTTTGAACAAACTTCAGTCAGCTTAGATGAGGGTCAAATCGGCTGTAAAATCTTTAATATTCGATTTTTTGTTACTTGTTGCTTGGCGCTTGAGCAAATAATGAAATCACACCAAAAATACTTGAATCATAAATTATTAAATACATTGTCAGATACCTTGTTATTTCGAATGGCAGAGGACGCACTAGGAACGGTTATAAATACACGTTCACATACAAACAATAAAAGATGTCCTTGCTTTAAGGGCCGAGTGCGGCCAATGGTTAGCGTTCCGGAATACGGAGCTGAGGCTTCGTGGTTCGTTTCCCGTTATCGTGCAAAAGAAGAAAGAACGAAACGATAATAATCGCACTTTGGGGTCGGGGGTACGTTATGAGTGAGGCCAAGTCCCATTATTCGGCCTGACACGAGTAGTCCAAGAGTTAGTGGTGGATGGTGCCGACTAGTTACAAAGTTAGGAACGTCTAGCGCAAATAGCCCTCTTGTAGATTTGCGCGAAATCCAACGAACAAACTTTGCCCTAAGCACTTTTTTTTTTTTACGAAACTCAAGCAATGATAGTTTTTCGATTGTTTCAAAGCCACTGATTATCGTTTTCAGAAAGAAAAATATGAGAGGAAGTCAACGGGTATCTTAAAGGTTATTTTGAGTTTTTTTGTTAATTTTAATTTTCTTCCTCAGGATTTTTTGAATCTATAATGATTTCAGTTACGCCTAAATCCTCATTATTACCCTGTCGCATTACTTTACATTGCATAAAACAGTTAAAGAATGATTGGAGCTTATAATGCTATAGTTATGACAAGGCAAACGTTACTGTTATAAAAGTGTCAGTCATTCCACTCATGCACACCAGGCGTCTAACCATTGGTGATTCCACTAATGTTCATAAATGAACATTTGGATTTGGTTTAGTTTGTTTGGAATTGCGCGCAAAACTACACAAGGGCTATCGGCGCTAGCCAACCCTAATCTAGCAGTGATAGACTAGAGGGAAGGCAGCTAGTCATCACCACCCACCGCCAACTCTTGGGCTACTATTTTACCAACGAATACTGAGATAGACCGTCATATTATAACACCCCCCCCCCGCGGCTGAAAGGGCGAGCATGTTCGATGACGGGGATTCGAACCCGCGACCTGCAGCTCGCGAATCGACCGCCTTAACCACCAGGCCATGTCAGGCCCAGAACATTTGGAAGAAGTAGCTTTACACCTTTTCAGCTCGTTTCAGTTTCATGTACCATCACATAAACCAACGTGGTACCGATTTTGCAAGTCTAAAATAATAGAATTCGTCCTTGACCACTGCACTGAAAAATGCTAATTTCATGGCAACTTTAGTCTATGGAGTCACTTGATTGGCTGTGATGCCTCTCCCACGAGCATCTTATGCATATTCGTACGAAGGCCTCCTATTCTCCAAGAAATGCGTCAACCATAATGTACCAAAGTTTTTGAGTAAATTAACACAATACAAAGATAGGCTTGTGTGAACTACAACTAATTGATATAGCGTTATGAATTAACACAATACTGTGTTATTTAATGACAATTTATGTTCTTCAAAGATAGGCTTGTGTGAACTACAACTAATTGATATATTGTGTTAATTCATAACGCTACTATGTTATTTAATAACAAGTTATGTTCTTGAAAGATAGGCTTGTGTGAACTACACCTACTTGATGTATCGTTATGAATTAACACAATACTATGTTATTTAATAACAAGTTATGTTTTTATAGCGTTATAAATGCAAGTGTGTATTTTCTAACATGCGGTTTTCAATTTAAAATCCTGCTTACTTAAACACATTATTGTGTCCTGACTTTACATTTTTATTATATGTAGATTGTATAGAATTCAACACAAATATTATGCATCAGCTAACGTTTATGTCTTTCTCATTAAACAACCCTGATTATGTTGTTGTTGTTTTTAAATTTTAAATTGTGTTATAACCATTCAGTCACCAAACTGGTATTCCATAAAACACGAGTCACGTGTTTTGTTTTTTGTTTTTTTCGTTTTATTTTTACAGTGAAATTCAGCATAATTGGTGTGGGCGTTATCACCAATTATATGTTAAAAAACTGGTCTAATTGGACAAACACGTGGCAGTACACATGGTGACATATGGTGGTATCCACATCATACTTTTACCGCTGTCGTCTGATTCTAGCTTGAAAATGGAGCAGGAGCTGGCTCCAGATTATTTACTAATGAATATACGGATACTCTAATTATCTGGATGCAAAGTGAAGCATGACTCATCCACAGAAAACATTGTTTAACTATTCCGGCTCAAACGCCAAAACATGCGATAACCTAATGAAATAAACGAGTCATAAACCCTAAAACTAGCGATGACTTGACGGAGTGAGCGACTCCTAAACGTCAAAACTAGAGACAATCTAAGGAGGTGTAAAAATCCTAAACGTCAAAACTAGAGACAATCTGACAGCGTGTACGAGATTTAAACACAAAAATAAATTTGCAAATAACTAATGAAGTGATACGCTCTAAGAACCAAACAAACATAGCGATGATCTGATGGAGTGGATCAGATATAAACGCCAAAACTAGCTATGATCTGGTGAAGTGGACCAGATATAAACGCCAAAACTAGCTATGATCTGGTGAAGTGGACCAAATATAAACGTCAAAACTAGCTATGATCTGATGGAGTGGACCAGATATAAACGTCAAAGTTAGCTATGATCTAGTGAAGTGGACCACATCTAAACGTCAAAATTAGCGATGATCTGATAGAGTGGACCAGATATAAACGTCAAACTAGCTATCATCTGGTGAAGTGGACCAGATATAAATGTCAAAACTAGCTATGACCTGGTGAAGTGGACAATATATAAACGTCAAAATTAGCGATAATCTGACAGCGTGTACGAGATTTAAACGCAAAAATAAATTTACAAATAACTAATGAAGTGATACGCTCTAAACACCAAACAAACATAGCGATGATCTGATGGAGTGGACCAGATATAAACGTAAAAATTAGCTATCATCTGGTGAAGTGGACCAGATATAAACGTCAAAATTAGTTATGATCTGATGGAGTGGACTAGATATAAAGGTCAAAATTAGCGATGATCTAGTGAAGTGGACCTGATCTAAACGTCAAAACTAGCTATGAACTGATGGAGTGGACCAGATCTAAACGTCAAAACTAGCTGTGATCTGTTGAAGTTTATGAGTACTAAACGCCAAAACTAATGATGATCTGATGGAGTGGACGAGTCCTAAACGCCAAAACTAGTAATGATTTGATGAATTGTACGCACTAGTTCTAAGTGCCTTCTTCTGTTGTTGTTATTAAGTGACAGTCGGCTCCTTTCGCGAGATTTTAAGTTTATCATCAATGTATGTCATTTGCGAATAATGGTGTTTAAATGTTGATAAAAACATTAATACAAGGGGCAGGCGAAGTTTAACATTTGTAACATACAATAAAGAATAATATAAATTTGACTGTTTCAATTATAACGCCCACAGCTGAAAGTGTGGAGCTTATTCATCATCATTTTTCAGGTTCAAACTTTGTTCTTTGCACCTACAACCTGAAACGATAATCCGGTCTAATATATATATATATATACAAAGGAAATGGCTGAAAAAGACATGTAATACACAACAACGTCCAATGGTAAAATATTCCGGTCTAGACATCAACAATTGACCACAATTTCAATGTCCATATCGTGTGATTAAAGACAAAATGAGCCTCGTAATCATTGCGTTAAGATAAACAGCGTCGAACAGAACTCATTATCTTGTTCTAGAACGTTCAGCCAACGGGACATAGTGAATTATGGATGAACAAATGTTACATTATAAGGAAATGCAATGAGTAATAACGTATTTTTTGTTGTTGTTATTCAATCTAAAGAAGGAAAGTTTATTTTTCCTTGAATAATAATAGTTTGTAAAACAGGTTTTGAAATATTAATTTCTGGTAAAGCTTCATAAGGGTAACGGATTACAACGCTATAATCCAGGTTTGCGATTTCCCCAGGTAGACAGAGCGGAGCTAGCTCATCGTATTTTTCTGCACGAAGAGTACAACATCATAAAGGTAAAACTTCATAAACGTTGACAACAGTATGGAAGCAGGATTGTAAAATGTTTTCTTATGATTATCCAGTCCAATCAAACTTCTCTTCGCTTTAGATCTGCTGGATGTGGAATTAACTGTTTGAGTATTTGGAGTTCGTCATTCATGAATTAATAAATACTGTTGATTGACGCTCACAACAACAGACAAAAGGTAAGTTCATCTAATATAATATATTGTGTGTATAAACTGTACAGTTGTATTGCATAATAACAAAGACGTGTATAAATCAGTTTATACATGTGTAAAATTGACATACATCCACGGACGTAGGCCTACTGAAGTGATTAAACAAGTAAGAACTTATCCAACGACCCCTATTCTCCAGCACTCGATGCTTACCCCCAAGGATCTTAAAATATCAAGGGATTATTTTTAAAAAATAACTCATAATGTCCTAAATGAACAATACCTTTCTAAGCCTTGCGCACGTGCCTTTATTTTCGGTATCTGTCACTTGTAGAGTAAACGCTTTAAATGTTTTCAGAGTTCATAGTGTTGTTCTCGTTACTTACATAAGATTGAAGTCTTCAGCGTACAGACTATCTGGAGCGTAAGGTATGGCATTCTGTCTTCTGTAGAATGTAACCCAACCTTTAGTCAGGACACATTTTCCTCTATGCTTGCGAAAACTTCGGCGTATCAGGTAGTTTAAAACGTTGACTTCTCGGAAGAAAATGTAGCCTGAAAAAGTTGATTAGATCTGATTATTCTAAACCAAGACTCAAATAAGCCTTAGTTTGTTTTGAACCTCTCGATCATTGAGAACTTTTTAAATATTCATATTATCATAATGAGACACTAAAAACCAAGGCCAGCGTTAGAGGGGGAGGCTGAAATGTCGTTGATTGCCCCCAAACTATTGTTGTCCATTAATATAATTTTAGATTTATTTTAAATTTGACCCCATTATATGTTTTATCAGGGATAAGAGAAGCTGGAGCAGATTGTACTAAAACCGTTACTAATATATTAACCTTGATTCCTGGAATGGATTCCCAGACGGAGATCAATTTGGCGTGTTATACTACAAAGAAAGAAAGGAAACGGTTATTTGATATTACAGTTCTATGCCCAATGCCAAGGGCGTGAATGTAATACGGGCTTTTGTTCACACACACATTTTACTAAGAAAATGTTGACACTTATTTAGAAATAATCCTAGAAAAGTTGTATTTTATTAATTTTGTTTGTTATGGATTTGCCCTCGTGTAGCTTTGCGCGTATCTGCGCTAGCCGTCCCTAATTTAGCAGTGTAAGACTAGAGGGAAGGCAGCTAGCCATCACCACCCACCGCCAACTCTTGGGCTACTCTTTTACCAACGAATAGTGGGATTGACCGTCACATTATAACGCCCCCACGGCTGAAAGGGCGAGCATGTTTGGTGTGACAGGGATTCGAACCCGCGACCCTCAGATTACAAGTCGAGTGCAAATCAGACCGGCTCAAGAGCCCCAAAAGTAGCTTATCTCAAGAATCAAGAAAAAGTAGACTATAAACATTTGCAGCCCTAGAAGATGTTAACAAATTCATTGGACTACAGATAAACGTATAAACATAAACAGATAGAAAATTAATAAAAAAGAAAATAATGATGATCATGAAGATGTAGATTATAAGGTCGTTTGTCAACTGAAGTCAAAAATGACTTTAAATTGTCAAGTACGTTTTAAAGCAACTTCAACATGTATTTGTCAGAGGAAATATTTGTAGTCAGTGACATTGAAACTTTATGAAGGGTTATTCATATTCCACTACTTGAACATTTGGATTTCTATTTTACAATATTAAAAGTTTAAAGTTCAATGAACTTGTGTATATGTTTAAAATATTGGAATCCACAAACGAACAAATTATATAATACATAAAATCTTTAGTTAAACTGATCAACGGTTGTAGAAGTGACTCTATATGTTTCACCATTGTTTCACGTCACCTATAGGAGTGTGAAAAACAGTTACTGTGTGCTATATAAGTACAAAAGCCATGATCATGTGACTACTAATTTATAATACAAAAAAGAAGATCGCGCCATCTACAATTTTTTATATTTTCTAACCCTTCATCCTTATTTAAGATCAAGTTGTTTTTGCTGTGTTTCCCTATTTCAGTGGTTTCTCTACTATTTCTAGCAGTCATATTAATTGGTTGAGACAAAATTACCGTTTTTTCCCACAGTAGAATGAATTTTACAACCGTTAATCGGTTTAAATAAAGATTATAATTATGTATTATAAAACGTTGTTCTCTTGTGGATTTTAATATTTCTATTTTACAAAGCTAGGACTAAATGTACTTGTGCAGGGTCCCCGAAAGTAAAAAATATTTTTACTTATTGCTTTTCAAGTTCATATGTCATGCCGTGTTGTAGCCTACAGAATGCATAATTCTTCTCGCGATTTCTGGTATGCGCACGTTTTACTGACGTCACGATAGTACAAATTGCAACGTTAAGCGTCCCTTATGTGATGTTATTTTAGTATCTACTGACAGACAACACACTACTGTATAGTGGTGCGAGTGGTTAAAACAGGTGTCCCCTCCAGGAAGCCTTAGGCCCCCTTTCGGGGAAATTAATATAGATTACACTCATACGAATGCAGAGATATATGTACAAAAATAGAACGACTCACAGAGAGAGTTCTATTTTTACTGTTTAGCAGTTTCTTGGGTTTGGCTAAGTGGTTAACGTGCCCGTACTGTGAATCCGAGATTCACAAACCGTTGCCTTAAAAATCCCACACTGCACATTAAGCCTGTGAGTGCGCTGTAATAGTGACGTTCTAATCTCACTGTTCGATCAAACACCAGTAATCCAAGGGTTGACGATAGCGGCTGTTGCCTAGCTACCTCCCCTTAATATCAGTTCAAAATTAGTGACGGCTATGTGCAGATGATTGTTACACAAAACTAAACGTATACGACATAGATTAAAACCTATCACTATGTTTCACCAAAATCTGTACGTCACCTATATTTCATTCGTACGTTTGTTTGTTTTTTAAGCACAAAAGGCGCTATCTGTGTTGTGCCGACCACGGGTATCGAAACCCAGTTTTTATGTTATCAGCCATCATCAAACTTGTCGCTGATCCATTGGGGGAGGGGAGCATTGTCCATAGGTAAAGAGAGTGAAAGCAACTGTAGTTCTGTGTCAACGCTGTTAGCTAGAGCTTACAGTACCGAATTCTTACCTTAAGAGCTACTACTATGTATTAATGTTTTGTGGCCAAGGAAATTCTTTAAAGGAATGCGAATTTCAAGAAAGTATTGGCATATAACCAAAAAATGACGGCTGTTGCACCTCGTGGAATAATACTCGTTCCTATTTCTGTTTGCGAGTGTTTTAGATTTCGAGCTGTCAAGTAGCACTCTACTCGGAGCTGAATTACTTACACAATAGTTTGATATCATAACGACTACTTGATTAAAACTTTAACTCTATCATTTCATAGTACTATGACCAATAATGTTACTCCTTAGTCCGAAAATGAAAACTAAAGGGAATTACTCTGTAAAATCACACACTTAACGTTTATTTCTTGTACGAGTTTTTTTTTTCTTTCTGTATTTGTTTACAAGGAATTTTGTTGTTTTTAATGTAACTTCTAACTTTTCTCCTAGATGGCAGCTCAGTAGGATTTTTACCCGGAAAGCCAGTGTCACTAACCCTTCAATTCTAAGATGAAAATAGGTTTATACTGCATAAAATAACTTAACAAAAAATACTTGTTATTATCAATCAAATGTTAGCATAATTTTGCCTATATTTTGATACTCCAAGCTCAGCCCTGAAGTAGGAAGGTCTGTCTTCCAAAAAAAGTGTTCCTGTTACCGGGTTTCCTTATTTTGTGCCAGGTTAGATGCTATTCTATTTAAACTTGAATCGATATCCTCTCTCCTTTTATATTTCTTCAAGTATTTCTAATAACTGTTGATCGTTGTTATATCATAGGTGATTTACAGACGAATAATGATGAACAAATCTGTTAGCTTAGTTTGCAAAGTTTCCAGTTACTGTCATGCCCCCCCCCCAAGTGTCTCAGCGGTAAGCCTGCGGGCTACGACGTCAAAATTCTGGTTTCGATACCCGTGGTTGGTAGAATACAGATGGAACATTGTATAGCTTTGCGCTTAACAACAACCAAACCAAATTACCGTCATAATGTCAAACTGTACGTAAAATGCAAACATGATCAGAACTTATTATATTAAAAAGGTACAAGTATACATAATAAAATGTTTATGCAATTTGAAAAATAAGTTCAAACTTTGTATTTGAGTATAACGTTAGATTTCTTGGGGAACTTTTATATTTTGCGTGGATAATTAACGTGTATAGAACGTGCAAGAGTGATTTGCATATACGAATGCAACGACGTATTACCATTATCAACATATTTAGAATCTGTATACGTTTTCACAGCGAATTTCCGACAATGCAACGCAGCCAATAATAGACTTATAACTGGAGAAAAGTAAATTAGATTTTGGAGAGGAGGATCATACAGCGTAATAATTAAATGGTGTAAAGTCAAAAGTCGCAACATTTCTTTAAAAAAAGAAGCCTTCATTGAAATGGGAAAACGTGTACAGCCGGGTGTTTAATACAGCAACGACTTCCGAAACCGTGCCCATAACCAATTCGGAGCAAAACGAAGGCCATGGTTGCAAGAGAGAACCATCCGATTCAAAACGCTATTGCTATTAAGCTATTTATGTTTTAAAGTAGTAAATGGGGATCTGAAATTGAACACTAGCTCACAGGCCGAACATTCCGGCAACATCTCAAACCATCTAGGGTTCACTGGAATCACAGTAATTCCATTTTACAACATGCTTGTCAAGCCTTCTAAGAAAACTTCAATGGTCTTTTATGCATTTAGTCTGAGTAAACGTGATCTTGGAAGCCGACTTCAAATACATATTCTAAGATTGACACTGCCGTCTTGGCGGGAAATTGTAACAATAGAAATTGCAACCGTCAGTAATAGTAAACGAAGCTAAACATGAACACAAAGAAACAAACGAAATTATACAAAAACACAAAGAAGCAAACGAAGTTTGCCCCGGCATGGCCAGGTGGTTAGGGTGCTCGATTCACAATCTGAGGGTCGCGGGTTCGAATCCCCTCCTACTAAACATGCTTGCCCTCATGTAGCTTTACGCGAAATTCAAAACAAACAAGCAAACGAAGTTAAACAAAAACACGATGAAGCAAACAATGAAGACGACTTTATTTTAGTAACGCTAAAGAAAAAACGAAAAACAGAACAAACAAACACTGATCTCAAGTATACATCACAAAATCAAAAAGCCACAGACGTACAAACAGATGCAGTACACAAAAAACCACCTCAGTTTTCTACAATAATATAAGGAATCCCTACTGAGTACAGAGAACTACAACCTGCGGCCGAAATCAAATGATGCAAGCCGGAAGTAAACTTAGTTGCTATCAAGGGCGGCGTCCTAATCAAAGGGCCAGAGGCCGCTGACTTCTCAATCGACTGTTAAAAGAATGGCCGCAAGATGCTTTTAAACCAGGAAGTATTATTATACACTTACCAGGCAACAAACCTAACCCCAAATCTTTTGTCATAAAAGATTTACATTCAGGCATCACAAACGAAGACATAGAAACCGAACTCATACACAAACACATACAATACACCAAAGTAGAACGTATTTTCTCTAATAGAACATAGAAACTCACATATATGGTCAAAATATACGCACAAGATATCCAGAGCGTGATATCAAATGGTATCATTCTTTGGTCTCAAAAATACACTGTTGAACCCACTAAAACACCAGCGGTAGTTGTAATCCAGTGTTACAACTACCAACGCTACGGACATGTGACAGCCGCATGAAAGCTCTCCCACGCTACGTAGGGCGTGAGGGAGAACACAGAAACACAGACTGCTCACGTGAGAACCCATAACCACACCGCTGTATCTGCCAACAGCAACACACGGCAAACTACAAAGGATGCCTAAAATACAAGAACATTTAAACACGCATAATCAACATACAAAATAACACAAATACACAAGCACCAAATCAGGAAGCAAACAGAACACAAAGAAAAACACCATTACTACCAACACCAAAATCCCAAGAGACAACAATTTGGACTTGTGTTTGCTGTGTTGTTTGTGGTAATATGAATAGTTGTATAATATGTGATAGTATTGGTGTTAAATAGCTATTCTAATGATTAGTGTAATACTGTCGTCTTGGTTTTGGTTTCTGTATTGAGCTAGAAACTCGTAGAATATGTTTTTGGCTACGTCTGTTATTTTGCTTATTACTTCGTTTTGGTGTGTTTGGGCGTTTGTGGGTTGTGTGGTCCTCAGTTGTTGTGGTGTGTCTTCAGTTTGGTTTTGACTGCCTGTGCGAATGTATATGAAGTAGATTGTTGGTTTGTGTTACACACATAACAATATAACATGAAATGAACATAGCCCTGAAAAGTAAAGTAGCAAATAGAAACAGTTAACATCCAAACCAGCTTACCCAAGAAAAAACACCTGACGTATAGAATACCAATAACAATAGTACAGGAGGGAAGAGCAGGTGTATTAGGAAGAACCTGACCCTCCCAGGTCGTCACAGACCTAAATCCCGATGATTGATCCAGTAATAGTATATAGTAAAGTTATTGGACTGGGTACGATCAACTTTGGATAAAGTAGTTTCAAGCACAGAGAGTGACCTAGAACACCGTTATTATAATGTTTGTTTGTTTGTAGTTAAGCACAAAGCTACACAAAAGACTATCTGTGCTCTTCCCACCACTGGTATCGAAACCCGGTTTTTAGCGTTGTAAGTCTGCAGACATACCGCTGTGCCACTGAGGGGTTATTATAAAATACAGCTAACCTTATAAACATAGCAACAATGAAACAGTTTTTCTTCTCCACCATTTATATAACAAAAAATACTCTATTGATGTTATGTTGAAGAAATCGCGTAATTTTCGAGTAAACAGAGCAGAATTCTATTTAATAAACCACGTGTTGCTTAATATATTGCTGTGTTTAATTTGTTTTTACTTCTAATCAACTTTTAAAGTAGTGCTTTCATGAGTTACAGAATACAAAATACAGTTGATATATATATATATATATATA